TGTTACTTCCCATCTTGGGGGGAGAAAAGTGGTATATTTGTTTACCTATTCTCAGCATTATACTTCTCCAGATGAATCTAGAACACAACTTCAAAGCACTCAAAAACCCAATTGGGTACTTTCCTCCCCTCCCAGACTGCAGAATGTTTCTTTATAAAATACATGAAAAGCCCATTCCATCATCAGTGAACCAGTATTGAACCAAGTAGGTTTAACTGAGCAGGTTCCAAGACAATCATGTTTTAAGAATACAAGTTACATTTAGTGCTGTTTCACACCAATGACAACTGCAATATTACATCTTATCACTATTGTTTTTTAACAGTTTAACTTTTTGCTGTAAACAAAGCCAAAATAGCATTACCTAGATTAACTCACCCCAGAAAGTCTGGTCATTACCTTCATTATCTTTAAGGGATTAATCATGAAAGATTAAAGCGTCGGATATTTTTTCCTACACTGGCTGTCTTTTCTTCCCCGAGGAGTAAAATGATCAGATGATGTGAAGGCCATGAACACACAAGAGGCCCAAGCAGCACTACCACAAGGTGCCTGCAGTGGTGGCAGTATCACTTCTGTAATGCGAGGCTGCTTTAACATACTCCAAAAATGTTCAGCAAATCTTATTAAATCCCAATTAAGAAATTAACATGACCTATAAGTGACACCAGAAACGTCAAGCAAACAAGCAGAACGTTGACTTGCCTAGCATTTCTTCTGGCCAGTTATCAGTCACAGGATAACTTCAGCTCCCATAACTGCAGCACTGCAGGGATGCAGTCCCACAGCAAGAACTCTGCAGCGCCTCCACGGCCCCTACAAAGCACTTCTGCCAACACGATTTATCACTAGTTGATGTGAATGTTAGCATGGGGTTTATGCTCAAGTACAGAGTTCCGCAGTTAAAGACCAGCTATCATCCCCCACTTGCTAGAATGGACTGCTAAAACAACATCATAGCTATCCATGCTTAACTTACAAGAGGCTGAAGCAAGAAGCAAAGGGCTTACCTTCTGTCTTGCAGTTTTGCATCTTTAATAAAGAATATTCTTCCTACCAGCACAAAACATGTTAAAAAAAACTCAGTGAACAATCTCTGGAAAGTATGAAGACAACGGCCTGACTCAGTTCTTCCTATTACTAAGTGAAGGAATTACCACCTGAACACACCTAGCAGAGTGCTTCCTTCTTAGTTCCGCACATACACAACTGCAGCTGATACAGAACAGTCAGTGAATCTCCACTCTTTCTGCCTTATTTTTCTTATTTCTACGCAAATATTGTACAGATTATTCATGCTGATACTTGAATTACACCAGTTGTTTATTGTTACAGTCAGAGTGTTAACCACACACACAAAAGGTACTGAAAACTCAATTTCCAACATGAAAACAGCAGTTCTGCAGAAAGTTTCAGCAAAACTTTGGTTTTACTGTTTCTTCTAAAGAGAAAAGTGCTGCTGGCATAAAAATGGTCCTTGAGTTTCAGAACAGAAGACAAATAAGAGATGAGTGTGGTGTTTTAAACAACTGATATATAGCCATTAAGTATAATTCTCCTTCAAACATCACTAAGCTAGAATATTTGCTTTCTGTTAAATCATCACAGCAACAGCTGAAAAACTTCTCAATCATCCACCATTTCACAGGAGACAAAAAGATTGAGAAAAAACACTGAAGGAACACAGTCTTTTCAGCTTCACATTGCTGTTAGTGATTCATGCTTGAAGCTGTAATCTAGGCATCAAGTGCTTTTATTTGTACTTCTAATTGTGCTTTCTTTCACACTATCAAAATAGCAATTAAAAGTTGTTCTAAGAACATACCTTGCTTCTTTGACTTATGTGGGTCAGCACCTTTCTGCCAGCAATGCATGTGAATTACATTTTCATTTTGAATAATCTACTGCCAAAAGCTCCACTAATAGCAAGTGATCTTCATTAATCTATCTCCATGTAACACACAGCCTTGCTCTCATTTGCTATCCAATATTAGTTTAAAAGGCAATGAAAAAGAAAGTTGAAGGTCTCAAACTCTTCACAGGGGTTACATCTCACTCCAAAGAAATATGAAAATACAGATAGGCAGAGTTCTTTTGTCTTAATAATCACAGAAATAACCAATGCACTATGATTGCTACGTGAAATATCTGAAGGGCAGACAAAGAGATATGGATATTTGGGTGAGTACCCACAATACCTCACCATTCCATCATTCAACAGCACTGTTTTCAGTTTAGGCATCAGTTCAAAAAGATGAAGTGTGACTCTATTCAGCAATTCATCTTTTGGGTGGTTTTAAGATAAGCAAACAGTCTCACATTTAAAAATAAAGAACATACTCATATAGGCTTGCTATTCCTCCACATTCCACTATACTCAAAAGCCTGAAATTCATGAGTAAATTCTTATCAACTTTTGCATATGAGGAAATTTATCATATTTAACCTAAACATCACATACTCAGTAACAAGTCACCCCATTATCTATTTTAAAAGACCCTTGTATTTACTTAGCTGAGAGAACCATTCAAAAATACTCAGGTGTTTGAGTGGAAAGATGCATGTCAATTAATGATTTAAAAGGTTTTTACTGGTTTAAAAGAAACAAACACATCAACCAGTGCAAGGACAGTACTTTGTTTCCAAGGTCCGCTCTTCAAAACAGACTGACACGTCCCCTCACATTGCTCCTATGCCCTAGCTACAGTAAAGTGTTTTATCTAATACAAATCAAAACGACTCCCTTGTGGAGAAAGACAGCCATGTCAGTAATTAAGCAGGAGCTAGGGAAAGAAGGGGGAAGGGAGGACAGATAGCTCAGAGATGACAAGGGAGCCAAGGAGGGAGGAGGAGAAGGGTTTGGCTGTAGTCACCGATCTCCCTCCCCAGCCGCCTCCACAGAGGAGTCAGATGTGCAGTCTGCCACAAATGCTCCTTCCGCAGTCACCCACTTTTCAGCTCCTATTTACCATTCCAGGCAACTCCCAGATACTGTTAAAGAAGCCTTCCCTGCTTTAGCACAGACCAAGTGCACACAAGAAAGTGAAGCCCTTCAGGCTGCTCAAGACAAGGCAGCTAAGGAAAGCAGCTACAAAGTGCCTCAAGTACTGTTCAGCAGGCAGCCAAAATGACTTTCAGCAGTAAATACAGAAACTATCAGCTGATAGTAATCAAATGCACAGCTCACTGAGGAATGTTTTTAGAAACTGTTTCACAAGAATTAAGAACTGTTTCTGTTACCATCTGCCCTCTGGCAGTTCCAGAAGGCACAAGAGGTGGGTGACTGACTACGCTGCTCTCTTAGAAAGTTGAAGACTTTGAAAAATCTGGCAGTTTGTTAAAAAAAAATATATATATACATAATAATAATAATGAAAAAGTCCACAAGTTACAGTAAGTGCCTCAACTGTTTAAGAAAAATGAAGTTCCAACTTCGAGAACATCAGTTGTGTCACATCCATTACTATAAAAACCAAAATGTAAAGAACAACAATTCTACACATTAAGATTTTGTGAAACAGAGCTCATATATTGTCACTGCTAACAAATGTATCAGCTTTGGAAGTTTATTCTTCCACACACAGTAAGTTCTCGCGCTGGATATATACTGCAGGATATATATATATTTTTGTTTTTAATCAAAGAAGAAAATACCAAAGGTGGCTGTAGCACTGAACGTTACGTCCCAGCCAAGGCCCAGCAGAGCTCCCTGCAGCCCTCGGGAGCGGCCATCAGACGGCTCTACAGACGTAGTGCCAGCTCAGCCCGATTTATATTTTTGATATTTCCAGTCTACTTAAAGAGCAAGCAAGAGTTTTAGGGTATGTAAGCAACGTCATTTCTTTTTCCTGCTCTAGTCCATGAAGTACCTTAAGAAGACGCGCGGAATTATTACTTGTTAGCAAGTCAGGAGACATCAAGATTTCTAAAACTCGCCCTGATTTTGAAGAGAACATTTGCTGTCACAATGAATGAACACTCGCTGGCCGAAGTGAGATCATTAGTCCTAATTAATTTATCCGTTTTCCAGGCTTGGATCCTTGCCGAGGACTTTACCAACATAAACTAAAAAACGTACTCGACCACAGCGATCTACCAGCTGAGAAAAGCCCCCAGCCACCTCTATTTCGTCAGCCCGCTACCCTTCACGCGGCTGCAGACCCGCGGCACCCCACGTTTAATGGGCGAATCGCACGGACTGGAGCATTCGCACTTCGTAACCCGCCGTAAAAAGGAACGCGTGGCTACAGCACCCGCAGGCGCGGCGCGAGGACTCCGCTCCCGCAGCCCCGGCGCTCCGCCGCCGCCTCCCGCGCGGCCCGGCCGCCCCTCAGCCCGCGCCCGCCCCGCCGCGCCGACCCCGCGCCCCCCGCCCGGCGCCGCCCCTCGCTCACCGCGATGACGACGGTGTCCTCGCCCTGGAACTTGGCGACGTACTTGTCGCCGCGGGTCACCTCGGACTCGTTGAGGGGCCTGAAGCGACACATCACTTTGATGTTACACTCCGCCGGATCCGCCATCTTAGGCCGCCGCCGCCCGCGGGGCGCTCAGTTCCGCCGCCGCCCGCTTCGCTCCGGGGCTCCGCCAGCCGCCGCGCCGCCGCCGCCGCCGGGAGGCCCGCGTCCGCCCGAGCAGGAGGGAAAAGGAAAGGGCTCCTTCCCGGCCGCCACCTCCCGCTTTCACTTCCTCCCCAATATGGCAGCCATGGCGGCGCCGCAGCCGGCGAGACCGAACCCCCCCCCCCTTGGCCGGGCGGAGGCGGGGCCGGCGCAGGGCAGGGAGGGGTGACGTCACCCTCTGCAGAGCCCGGCCCCGCCCTCCCGCTTGGGGCGCGCCGCGCAGGCGCGGTGGCGCTCACGGGGAGGGCGCCCGCCGCCGCCGGAGCTTCGCGGCGCATGCGCCGAGTCGTTGCCAGGGCGGCGGGCCCGCTGCCGCGCGCCGCCTCGACGCCCGAGGGAGCGCGGCCGTGCGAGGGGGCGGGGCCCGTCGGCGCCGGGGGCGGGGCGTGTCCGAGGCCGCCGCCCGCCCACCTCCGCTGCCCGGGCCGCGCGGTGCAGCCGCTGCTGGGAGTGAGCGCGTGCGGGCGGTGCTAACGGCCCGGAGCTGCACGCTGCGCACGGATGAGGCGGGAAAGCTGGAACGGGGCGCGGAACGAAGCCGCGTCTCAGCTGGGTCTGCTTCCTGACAAACCGAGGTTCATACTGGAGACTTTTCAAATAGCCTTGAGATAAATAGGAAAAGGAGCCTTTTTTCCTGAAGTCAGTACATTATACCAGGTCAGAATTACTTAGCGTAGCAACGTGTTTCTCTTAAAGGCACTCGCTTTTTCACTGAAAAGGGAAAAAGATGATGAATTTTAATAGGGACCGTCTGCAGTCAAGCAGCCAAGGTCGCCAAAGCCCTTTGCAGCGCGGGGATGTGAACGGCGCGCGGTCAGTAGGGCAGGTGCGAGGTGAGCGCAGCTTCCGAACTGCGGCACGGCACAGAAAAGCTGCCTCACAGCCTTCATCCACGGGGCGTTCCTTACCGTCAGTGCAAAGCGTAGTTTCGTGCATAGCAGAGGCTGTTACACAGCTGTGGGATTTGGATCCTCTCAGATTCCCTCTGACAGGAGCTCATTATTACTATGAAGGACGTGTAACCTTGTCCTTACTGCTTTTCCAATTCATTCGCTTTCACTCCTGAGGAAAAAAACCCAAACAAGTGCCGGCTGTAAAACCAGTAATTCCATGGCTATTAGTCCCTGAAACGTTCCAGCTGCTAAGACATCCTCTACCCCAGTCTACTTAAGAAACGTACAGTTCTTGTTATTTTATAACCAAGGAGGTTAGCTGTGTTTGTGGCATACAGTACCCAGTGTACGAACACCTCAGTATGGCAGAAACTTCATCAGGATGTGATTCGTAAGGAAATAAATGCTTGGGCTTGCTTACCTTCGAAACAGCAAACTTCACAAAGAATAATGATTCATGAATAGGAAGTTACTTACTTCAGTTATGTTGAAACAAGAAAATACCTGGATGCGTCAACTGTGCTGACAAAACTGCTTAGTTCTAGTCTATTGATTCTATGCAAACTCAGGAGGATGACTGATGGTCTCTCTTACCCTGGCTGTGGGATACCTTCCTACATGAGCTCTGTTAAACTAAAAGTGCATTTTCTGTTGTCCGTTTCAGGCATTCCATCATGAAGTTTCTCTTCAGGGAACAGGAGTTCAAACTATTCAGCACCCCTTCTTTTACATGACCTGCTTTAAATCTGTTACAATGCAGCATGCTCAAAGAGGACATTATTGTTGTTGGCTCTAGCATGTCAAAACAACAGTCTTGAAAACTTGTGTCTAAAGATGTGGCATCACTTTCTTGAACAACAGAGCAGAGATCAAGCATCCTGGTAAGTTTCTCATTTTGTCACTGTTGTGCTTATAAAGAAGCAACATTGCTTGTGGCAGAGTCTCAGTGACACCAAGCAAGGTATTTGCAGTTAGGCCAACAGTCACATTCAAAAAGAAGACCAGAACTCACTCACCCAGCTGGCAAAGGGGTTCTCTGGCTATGCTGTACCCTTTCACAGGAAACAGCCCAGGTCCAAGAGATGCTCTCCCTTTAGTGACAGGCCCAAGATGGCTCCACTCTGGGTCCACCCCTTCTGGTCTGATGGAGGGCACAGGTGCAGATGTTTTCCATGTGCTCCCTAGGCCAGCCACACCCCTTACCAGATGTTCAACCACCAATTCAGTCCTTCGCCTAACATTTCCCCTACAGTTACAGTTAGCTGCTTTTTTGACTGGAAATGCATTTGCAATCTTCTTAATTGTTCCATTATACTATACATTTGTTGTGATTTAGATTAACATTGTTTAAAAGTATTCTATTATAGTGAAAAATTCGATTTTTTTTCCCTATTTAGTATTTAAGCCCATTTTGATCTTATACACTAAATACATTTTCTAAAGAAATGCTATATGGCAAGTTCAGAAAAGTTTCTCAGTAAAGACCAATGTCTCGTTAAAAGTAATTTTTCCAATGAATTTATGTCTGTTTGTTCATTAACCGTGTTTCTTCCCATATATGATCTGTGCAATAAGCCTCTAGATATTCTTTTATGATTTGTAGTTCCTTTAGATCTCTGGTCTTTCCCAGCAATAAAAGCACATTAAGGAAAGAGAATTGGCAAACCTGAGCCTTGCTGTAAAATTGTATCCGGGCGGTGATGGAGCTAACCATTATAATTGCTTCAGCAGAGTGAAAATTATTTTGATTTGACCTTAAAAGAATGTTACGTAGTTGAACAGATCTTTAAACCAGGTGTTTTTAGGGAAACAAATTAAAGCTGTTTCCCCTGCCCTTTAAAGAACTGAATTCTTTTACCAGTTTACTTGTTGACGTTCAGTGTTCCTGATGCAAACACAAGTGCTCTTCTCATTTTAATTTGCACTGTGCTAGAAAAATAGAGTATATGACTTTGGTGAAATTACAGTGTGTCCAGGTTCAATTCATTCTGAATTTGCAAATTAATTTGTAGGACAAAAGTAGTAGGACAATGTGTTGTTGTTTGTAACACTGTCTGTAAATAAAGGCTACTAGGATGTTTTGTGAAATCGAGTGACATTGCCTGACAGTGGAAAAGTGTAATTAAAAGTAACAATATCTTATGGTTCAGACAGCTTTTAAAAATACATTTTAGAGTCTCTACCAACAGACTGTGAGCAGACAATTCAGCTTTTGGAACAGAACAGATAAATAAATTACTGTGATTAGCAGAAAGATGGCAGATAAAATTTAGTGTCGTGAAATATCTCTGCAGTCAAACTGGATTATCTGAAACTCTCATTCAATTATGAAATTGTAAAGCCTTTTTTCATTCTAATAAATAGTATGATGTGGAACGTATCTCCTGTCCCAGGCAAGTTTAGGCTTTTAGGTGATCTGAAAGGCTGAAACATGGTTTGAGGATGCAACTGCAACAGTAACTTCTTGTCATAAATACCAGGGGTTTTAAGAATCAGGGGTGCTTGTTTGTTTGTTTGTTTTGCAAAAGATGCATAGAACTCAGAGAAACCTCTAGTTTCTTCCTAATCACCAAGATCATATTTGATTATTTCTAACAGTGTTAGGCTAATTAAAAGCAAAACAAGCTCTGGGAATGAAACCACATTGTCAATGTTTATTTCAGCTAATTTGTGCAAATAAACACAAACATTTGCTAACTACCTAAAGCATTGACTCTGAATTCTCCCCAAAGAAGGAACACCCTTTTGGACCACGTTTGTATTTTTAACCATAAAAGAATTTTGCCATCTGTTTTGTCATCCCATCATAAATTCCTATTCTGAGTCTCTTGCCATTGCTTATAACTCATACTAAACTCATCACTGGATTGTGTCTTAGTTTTGGTCATGGCTTAGCTGTTTCAAAGAGTGCAGTTTGATATGAACTGTTTGCTAAGGGAAAACTCTTAAAATTGTAGCAGTTAAAGCAGAGAATCTAAGCAGGAATATTCGTTAGGGAAACCCATTGTAAGAGCTCTGGTGCTTTTGATTATCTAAAAGTACTCAAAACTGGCTGTGTCATAAAAAAAAACACTGGAAAAATAGCTCCTGTGCTCCAGTTCAGCAGTCTTTCCTTTTACACTGAGTAATTGAGGTGAAAGCTGGAGCTGAAAGCAAGGATTATGACTTTATTGAGTTCTAGAAGGAGTTGCTTTATTTCACCTGCACACAAGAGTATGGGTTATTAGAAGGAACAGAAAAAATATTTGGGATAGAAGAGGAAAGGCAGAAGATCCAAGTTCAGGGACATAGGAAGAAACAAGCAGAAAAGTCTGTGGCAGCTGCAGGACCTCCTCCAGCAGTACAAATGGGATCTGTGATCCCTCACTCTTTGCTGTCACCAAATAGATGTGGAACTCACACAGATGTGCTCAGATGGCACATGCAGAGGGACATCATCATGTAGCTATTGTGTGCTTTGTCAGTGCGAGGGGCAGGGGCAATGGGCCTAAAATACAATCATGACACTATATCATGAAATACAGAAATTAGTTTAATGAGATGCTGCTCTACAAAATTCGTATCAGTATGGTGCAATATGAAGAAATTTCCAAGCTTTTTAAAAGGCAAAGAAATTAAGTACAGGACATGCTTTGCAATGGAATAGCATTCAAAGATGTAAAAAGGACAACAAAAAATGTATCTTGCCTGATCCAGCTGTAAGGATATGGTATTGACAGGTGGTCTCACAACAGCCTGATTTGAAATGACTGGTGGCTATAAACATCATTACCATACATCTCAAGTTACATTCAGAAATAAAAGAAATCACACTGAGATTATTATTCTGCCAAGTACTCAGTGGGTGGAAAAATTAGCATGTCACTGGAAACAGACTGTATCCCTACCTGAAGTGTAAAAGGAAAGTCAGCCTTAACTCTGAAGTCAGTGAATTCACAGCACAACATTTTTCTTTGTTGTCATTTTTAAGTTGCATCCTTTCAATTTTGTTTTCTTTTTTTTCTTCACTGCTGGAATGTTCTTCCTAAGGATCATATATATCCCAATAACCTTGCCTGGAAGTAGCAGAAATATGGATGAAAGATTTGCATTTGAAAATATAGCCCTGCTCATTTGTTAACTTGTAAATGGCAAAAAAAAAAAGTAAAAATTAAAGGACAAAAGCTACATCATGAACTTCACAGTCAAGAATAGATCCAAAGATTGTGTATCCTTTAAAGTGTCAGTCAGGTCCTCATTGATATGATGGATAGATCACCCTGCTTTAATATTCTAAGTGCTTTTATGTGCCAAAAAGCATCGCTAATATAATCCAAGCTAGGTTATGGCTAATTTGTCTTGCTTCAGACCCCAGACTCAGAGAAAGCAGGGAATGGAAAGGAGATTGAATGACTAATAAATATCCATCTATGTGCTATGATTACATGTCAATATGATGTGTCACTCTATTGCTATTTTATATTGTGTACTTGAGAGCATATTGCAGTGTCTTCAGTGATTTCATATGAGGGCGTCAGAAATTATTTGCGGTGTCCCTTTTTTGAGAGAGAGAGCTTCTATCTTGTTTTGTATAGGACATTCAGCAAGATATTATCTTCAGTGATTGAAAAAAATGTGATGGAGCTGATGGAATTTTCTCTGACATTTCACCTCCACTGTGATTAATAGTTCATCAGGCACTTGCAAAAATACATTTGAATACATGTGTTTTTCTGAATTTGGATTCACAGATACCAAAGGAAAAAGCAAAAACTAGTGTAGCTTTTCAAAAAATTATGTTGTTTTAAAATGTAAAGCTTGAGAGCTGTTAGTATTTGGGAAGGTCTAGATGATTTCTTAGGGAAGGACCTGAAAAACTAGCTCGAGCGCAGCTTGCATCCTGCCTTGCTTCTCACTTATTAATTCTTATAGCTAAATGGCCAAGCTTGTCACTGCTTCTACCAGCAAATGAAAATTAAAGACAGAATAATACAGGTTAAACTGCATGAGTTTTGCCTCCCCCTAATACTGGTAGCACAAAAGTATACAGGATGTTTTTGTTTAGTTTGTTCATCAAAACCATTGAGATCTATGACAGCTGAAGGAAAGTGGTGCTTTTCACAGGTATACACGTGTGCACACAAAATGCTTGCAAAAAGTATATTTATTTTTGTTCAGCGTAGTTCTGCTGAGAAAGATGACCATACAGTTTTAACTTAGCATGAAGCATGCTTATAGTCAAAATCATGTCTGAAATCTTTGGCAAAAATATATTTTATTAATCGCTACTTCATAGGCTTTACAGAAATAATGCTGGGGGAGATAAATCCAAAGCCTTTTCTAGGTCTTTTATGAACAGAATTACCTCTATTCTGACATTTATTGTTGGTGACAGCACATGAGATATACACAAAAGGGAACTGACTTTCAAAATCCAGTTTGAAATTGCTGAGCTGAGAGCACTTTTTCAAGTTCTTTGTGGAACAAATTTTTATGGCAATGGTAAACAAACCATTCATGGGGGATGAGAGGATAGCAGAACTGCATCAAAATGGACCTTTTATATTATCTTAAATTCCAGCTGACCTCACACAGACTCATCATCCTGACTTCTAGTCTTCCCATAAATGGATATATGCCTTGCCTGCAGAGAAGTAAGAATCTTCATTAGCTGGAGAGCTGCCCTAAGGAAAGGGAGTGGTGTGTGTGCACATACACATGTGCTTGTCATAGAGCAGTTCATGGAGTTTTCTTCATTTTCTCCAAGTCACATCTTCAAACTGTCCACAGAATAGAGAGGTAGAGAATTTTCATCAGCTTTTCAAGGTCTTTAGTAAATTTAGTACATTTTTTTTTTTTTAATCTGGACATTTGCCAGATGTTACAACACAGCAACATTATG